GCAGTTTTAAGGTTTCTGGCCTAATTTCTAAGTCTTTTATGCATTTTGATTTGACTTTTGTACAGGGTGAAAGATCTAAATTCACTCTTTTACATGTAGATATCTGGTTTTTCTTATCCTGATGGTTATTGAAGATAGAAAGCCAAAATATTTTGCATGTTTCTGACTGCAATTTCTGATGTGTCCCTGAGGAGAGGGTAAAATTGGGGCTATGTCTTATCAGTCCCTTAATCATTCTGTATTCCTATTGATATTCACAAGGGCAAGTATGCCCTCAGCTATATGTTTTGCATTATACAGTTGCTTTGTGTATTGAGTAAACAGTATTTTAAATTAAAGTTGAAGCTTTGTAAAAGCTTCCTTGCAATTTTCCATGTACTTGAGTCTGTCAACCTGCTGATGTAGTAAGTGAATCTAATCATTTGATTGGATTACAGCATGATTTTATCTCTAAGACACAGTGAAGGCCATGTCCCTTTACAAATGAATTAAATTAGAGGACAGCATAATAAAAAATAAAGATTGATTGTCAGTTCAGATGAGCATAAGATTGAAATATGGAGTCTTAGGGAAACCTCTCTGTCTTATGGAACAGAGCAGTGATTCTTAGCCCCAGATGCAACCTATAGTTAGTTGTAGGGGAAGTTTGGAAACATATTCTGCTCACACTTGGGCCTCTGCCCCAGAGAATGTGGTTTAGTTGGGGTTGGTGTATCAGTATATATATTTTTTAAAGCTCCCAAAGTGATTCTAAGTGCTGTCAGGTTTGAGAACTATGGAATAGATGAAAACTCAATCTATTTAAAGAAAGCATTTCTTAGTAGACAAGTGACTAAAAAGCCATAGGATAGGAGGAAAGGTGAGAAAAATAAGGGGGAGAAACTTTTAGTGTAAAGTAAGCAGAGGTTTACATTCCCATATTCACAATTCTGAAATAGAAGAGCTCTGAAAAATCAAAAGTGTTTCATAGCTTATTTGGTAGCAAAATCTAACCAAAATTGAACATAATGGATATCAAAACCTGAGGTTTTTTCTAGTCTTCCTCTATTCCATTTGGTATGAAAAGTAATTATTGCAGAAACATTAACGTGTCCGATAGGTGTCTGATTTTAGATCTTTGGGGTGAGTATCAAGAAGTGGAATGCCTAGTTTTTTTGAGGTCTGCTCCAGATCTCACTAAGTTTATAATGTAGAAAGGGTACCTTTATGAAATTTTGAATTCTGAAATTCATTTGGACCTATTGGGATGAGAAAGGGAGTTATAGATCATAGTAGGGAGGTTTATTCTTCCTGAAAAATTAACAACAATACATTTCACCCCACTGCCCACCCTCCTCATTAGGTATTGAACTCTGGCAGGCTGTACCACCCACCTTCATGCCCAACTGTTTTTTGGGGGTGAGGGGTGGGAGATTTCTGGGGCCAGCTCTTTTGATGTATTTATTTATTTTATTTTTCAAATTTTGAGACAGGGTCTTGCCAAGTTCCTGAGGGTCTGGCTGAATTGCTGAGCCTGACCTTGAAATTTTCGAGCCTCCTGCCTGAGCCTCCCCAACTTCTGAGATTATAGGCATGCACCACTGAGCCAAGAACAATGCATTTCTTCTAATTACCTAGGCAATGGTTAGTGTCCACATTAGATAAAAACAGAAGCCAATATCAGAATGTAGCTCCTGACTCTCCTATATACTTTACAAGCCTAGCCTGATTAGAAGGTTCCATGTCAGTCTTGGTGAGAGAAAGTAAGTTTAACCAACAACACAAGTAAATACAGTAGAAAAAATGATCATTATGCTATAAAAGATTTAAGCAACTCACCAGGAATTTGGACACATCTCAGATGGGTAGTTCTTGCTCAGGGTCTCTTAGGAGGTTGTGGTTAGAACTTTGGCCAGGATGTGGTCCTCTGAAGGTTTGATGGGTGCTGGTATATGGTATTCCTTTTCTAATGCAAACAGATTCCTTATTTGTATGTAAAGAAAATTCTAGTGTGTTTATACAGTTGCTCAAAATCTGTATTTTTTTAAAAATGTAAATCTATAATTATTTGCAAAGGAGGCTTTGAGTCCCCCTAATAAGTTTTGAAGATTCCCTGTGGGAGGAGCTTACTGCAGGAGAATGCCTTCTCTGTGAGTGTCCCTTGTCCTCCCTGAGGCAGCTTTCCCTCTTCCTGGGCCCTTTCTGTATCCTCCAGGGGTTGCCTCAATACCCACCTGCTGGGGGTCACTGAAGGTATGTCTATGCTCTGTACAAAGTGAGGAAGAAACATGCAGGTCCTTGCCTCCAGCCCAAGGCTTCCAGCCCAAAAGACAGCCATCAGTCACACAATTTAAAATGATTAATTACATCATTGAGTGTGTTTAAGAAACAAACAAAAAGATCTGAAGAGATGCTACAGAGGGATTGCATAATGGGACTGTGCCAATTCACATAGCTTGATCAGCACTTCCCCTTTGTGCTTTGTAGGAAGAATACCCACCTTTTGTTTTGTTTTGGTTTTGAGGTGCTAGGGATGGCACCCAGAGCCTCACACCTGCTGGGCAAGCACTCTACAGCTGAGATAAATCCTCAGCCCCCTTTGGGGTTTTTGTCAAAATCCTTTTATTTTCTTGGGCTAAATAATGGAAGCTCCTCTACATCCCACTCTGCATAAAACACTGACTTCCTCCCACTGCAGAGATTCAGAGAATGTAGAGGGTACAGAAATCTCACTTAGTTCACATTAAAAAAAAAAAAAAATTAGAGGCTGGGAATGGTGAGGCATGGCTGTATGTAATCTCAACCACTCCAGAGGCTAAGGCCTGAGGACTACAAGTTCCAGCCAGCCTCAGCAACGTAGTGAGACCCTGTCTCAAAATAAAAAGTAAAAATGGACAGGAGATTTAGTTTAGTGACAAAATACCCAATTGAATTGGTGTTCAATTCCTAGTACCAAAGAATATAAAATAAAATAAAATGGGCTGGGAATGTAACTCAGAAGTAGAGCACTTGCGTAGCATGTGCTAGGCCTTGGGTTCAGTCTCCAGTCCCATAAAACAAACCAAAAAGCAGCTTAGATTCCTTCAAAATTAAACTGTGAAGTTATTCTGGACTTTCTCACTGCCTGTCTCTCTTCTTCCCAAAACCGCAAAAATGCTCTATTGTTTTCTTGCTCATCCAATTCCTCCTTTCTTTCCCCAGTGAATCTTTGAAAAGATGTGGTATAGAGTGTTGGGAATATAATACTTTCCTTTTTTTGACCTACTTATGCCTTGAGCCTTATTTCTATTTAGAGAAGGAGAAACTAAGGATGCTGTGTAAAGAATTCCAGTTGGGAAAGCCAGAAGAAGGGGGTGGAGAAGACAGTGTCTAACTCTCTGAGCCTTGAAGTGATCCTTCTCACCCATCATTCTCCATCTCTGCTGTCTTCCTATCTCTGAGCCACCATAGGCTCTTCCCTGGGAAGAATGGGGAATCTCTTAACAAGATCCCAGTGAATGATTATAAACATGCATGACACCATGAAGGAGGAAAATCCCCAAGTAGATGATAATACTATAATAAATCTTATCAATAACCCCAAATTTAAAATATACAATGATTGATATTTTAATTGTGTTGTTGTTTTTTTTTTTTTTTTAATTTGAATACATACCCATGTATTTATAAAGGGTTAGCTCTGGTCACTCATGACTTCCATTCACCCTCCCACCCTGTCCTCTTTTCCCCCTAAGTTTTCATTGTAAGCTTTCCAGCCATAAGGTTTTTCAGAGTCCAAACTCCCAGTATTGAAGAGAGAGGGAATGATTACCTTCTAGCTACTGCACAGTTGTCCTGAGAGAATGGCATCAAATAATCAGCTAAATTATGAGTACACACTCTCCCTGACATGCACACCAGTCCACAGGGAAAGCACTTGGAACTGCCTCCCTCGGGGGTAAGGATGCCCTGGCCTCTGGGAAAGCAGTCCTGAGTGGAGTCTCAGGGTCTAGCACATTGCTGCTCTCACCTTCCAGTAAATGAATATAAATTAAATTAATTTGAATAGCAAATCTGCAATTTAACCTTGAACTCCCAGACTCCCCCTTTGAAGTGTTATTACTGTAATATATTCAGTTGTGTGACCCTCCCCAACTCCCACTGTCACCACCTCCAAATTTCTCAACACACACATGCTTCTGAGCTTGAGAGCTTATGTTGTGAAGGGGAAGACCTTGCTTATTAAGGAATTTTTATTGCAACCTAGCGTAGATTTTACAAAGATTATCCTCGTGTTATCCTTGAAAGCAACTGGGTTTATGTTTTTTTTGTCTTTAATGTACCTTTTTGAGAATGTATTTAAAGAAGTATTTAAGCATTCACAGTGGGAGGGACAAGAGGGCATGAAAGTCCTAAAAAATTTGGAAGATAAAAATTTGGAGTTTAAGACACTTGGGATATTAAGGGTCATTTTATATTCACATTGCACCTCAGGTGAGTCGGTGACACTTGGTTTCAGATGGTGTATTATCCAAATGGTTGCTGTAAACCTGTCAGGTCTGCAGTGGACATTCACTACATTTGAGCAAAGATTCAATTAAACCAGGATCAACTATCTCAATGTTTCTAGAATTTCTACATAAACTAGCATCTTTGAGGGATAAGTAATATTTCATATCTTTGTCAGGATATCATATATATTTTAATAATTTAATTCATATTTGCATTATTTCTGAAGGTTACATAGTTTTGTTTTTGACATACATATAGCATATATTGATCAATATTTCACAATGTATACATTTGGCAACTAGTTTAAAAAAAAGTAATTCAGTATGATTATTCCAGATTTTTTTGGCCTGAAATTCTTATGCAAAGGCTTTTCCATGTATTAAGAGCAAAAAAAAAAAAAAAAGTGATGGCATAAACTTAAGTGTCATTGCAACCAGTCTTAATTGGGGTTGCATATCTGAAATCAAAGTACTGATTTGGTAGCTTCATTTTTCTTCTTCTAATTTGATTTTTCCCTAATATTTCATTAGGTGCAGAGAGAGCTAGCAGCTGTTATTGCTTTGAAAGCAAGGAAATCTGGTGAGTAGTCTCTTATGGGGCTGAGGGAAGATTATAATTTTTGGTAGATATTTCACATATCACCTGGAAGTGTGCAGTTGAATGCATCTCAGATGCTTTGGTATAGGATGCAGAAAAGTATCATGATTGTTTTAATAGGATTCATTCTACCACATGTTTTTATATATCATTCTCTAAAGTAAAATTTCACTGCTTTGCTCTAATTTATTTCAGATTTCAAGGATAAACTAAGTTTGTAGTTCTGAAACAGATCTAACTACATAAAAAGAGCAAGTAAATTAGCTTGAGTTACATATCATGACACAGAGAACAATAAACATAATGGTGATCTTTCTGTAAGGATATATAATTTTCTTAATCAAAAATTAGTTTTTTTCTAAAAACACTTTGTTTAATGACATTTCAAAACGGAAATTTTTCATAGAACTCATTACATAGATCTGATTCCTCTTACCCATGGGATATAATCTATCAAAGTAATATGTGGAAAGGAAAAAAGGGGCTTTCAAATATATTTTGAAGGAGAAAACAGCATTTTCTGCTGAAATCCAATATGAAATGGAGACTCACTGAAGTAGAAAAATGCTTGCTTAGAGAGAAATGGCAGAAAGCAGCATCATCTGCCATTCTTCCTGTTGGGAGGAAGGAGGTCAGTGCTGAGTGGAATAAAAATCAGAAAGGAAGTACTTCTTGTGTAATCTTAATTAGGATAAGACTTTTGTAGCAGAAAGACTATGACAAAATCAAAAGGATGACAAAACTTAAGGAAGTAAATTGCATGAAAATGTCTTAACATGCATTATATATTTTTTCTTTTTCCAGTTAGAAGCTCTAAGATTTGCTTACCTCTCCAGTTACTTTTTCAGTCAAGCATGCCCTAGTGTTAGTTTATAATACTCATGTTACTTCCTCTGTGCATTTGGCTGCTCTTGAGGACACAGGGATTGGACATTATAAAGGCAATGGAGAAAAGGATGCATGGAATGGTCATCTTGGGTATTGAACAGGGAGAGCAGTGTGGACAGGGTTGATTCCTCAGTGAGCAGCATGATGCAGTGGATACTTGCAGGGGTGGAGGCCACGATGGAAAAAGGACACCAGTGTAAAGATTGCAAGAGGAAGGCTTAGACATAAAGCAGGCTAGAGTTGACCTTGGATCTTATAAGGATGAGATGCAACTTAAAGTCTGTATGAGTTAGAATGTCTCTGTGCCTTGGAGGGTAAAATTTGGTTTTTCAAGGTTTCAGAATAATGTAGAGAAGCATTCTAAAACATACAGTGTGCCATTTCCAGAGAAAGAGCAAACTTCATAGAGGGAGGCTGGAATAGAGGGTGCAGATCCCCACAGCATGGAATGGTAGGGACAGAGGAGGTAATCCCTGTGGTTGACCAAGTTGTGCCAGCTCTGTTCAAGGGATAGCAAGGAGGCAAGAGTGGCTGGAAGCAAGAGAACAAGGCAGAAAAAAGTAGGTTGTGGACATTCAACTGAGAAGTTTGAACTTTCTGCAGATGAAGGGAAATGAAGATGAGTGAGTAGAGCCATACACACAAGACTGTGCAAAAGAGCAGTATGAGGCAGGATCAGGGGTGGGGGCGGGTGGTGCTAAGTGGTAGAGCACTTTCCTAGAATGCATAAGGCCCTGCTTCAGGGAGCCAGGGAAGAGGTATGAAGTTGATTTTACTATGTCTTCTCACCACATGAGGTTAGCTTGTCTGCTTTCTTTCTCATTTGACTTATGGAACAGGTAATACAGAATATAACTTTAGCAATTTTTCAGGGACAGAGAGCTCTCACACGTATATACTGATTGTGGAGACATAAATTCATAGTTTTCAGGAAACTATTTATTCAGTATGTTCCATTGTCCCTAACTATGTGTTCCAGTAACTCCAAGGCTAGTGTTTAGGGATCATATAAGAATCAAGGACATCTTTTGCATTGCCTTTTTCAACAAAACACAAATAGAAATAATACGTAAGTCCCTGTTATAGACCAATGACTGATGTGATGAAATGTTAAACAGCTATAAAAATGATGTTATGAAGGATTAACATAGTAAAATATTCAGTGTTGTATACAATAACAAATATTACTTTTATTTTTCTTAATAAAAAGAGCTTGATATATTTTTCTTACTATTATAGTAGAGCATGTTCATCAAAAATTATAATACATTAATGTATGAAGAAGAAATTTAAAAATCATGTATCTCATCAACATAGATAACTACTAATACTCTTTTGTTGTTGTCTGGGTGTGTATATCCAGATATTCTCCTATTAATATGTAGATACTATATTATATACAGATTTTGAGGTACTTGTAGTTTTGCACAAATTTGTAATAATAAAGACAGATCCTGAGTTCCTTTACCCAAGTTCCCCCATGGCAACACCGGGCAAAGCTATGGTATTCCACAACCAGGGTGCACAGCACTAACATGGGTGACAGCATTTCCGTCTCCACTCAAGTTGCTGGTTTATAGCTGCCCCAGCTTTCTACTTGCCTCCATTCCTTCTGTGACCCGCCAATCACTAATCTATACTTTATTTCTATGATTTTGTCATGTCAAAATATTACATAAATGGCATACAGTATGTAACCTTTTGGAGTTGATTCTTTCTTTTTTTTTTTATTTTTTTTTTATTTTATTTTATTTTTTATTGTTGGTTGTTCAAAACATTACATAGTTCTTGATATATCATCTTTCACACTTTGCTTCAAGTGAGTTATGAACTCCCATTTTTAGCCCATATACAGATTGCAGAATCACATCAATTACACATCCATTGATTTACATATTGCCATACTTGTGACTGTCATGTTCTGCTACCTTTCCTATCCTCTACTATCCCCCCTCCCCTCCCCTCCCCACCCTTCTTCTCTCTCTACCCCCCCTATTGACCTTCATTTCTCCCCCTTGTATTATTTTTCCCTTTCCCCTCATTTCCTCTTGTATGTTCTTTTGTATAACCCTGAGGGTCTCCTTCCATTTCCATGCAATTTCCCTTTTCTCTCCCTTTCCCTCCCACCTCTCATCTCTGTTTAATGTTAATCTTCTTATGCTCTTCGTCCCTACTCTGTTCTTAGTTACTCTCCTTATATCAAAGGAGACATTTGGCATTTGCTTTTTAGGGATTGGCTAGCTTCACTTAGCATAATCTGCTCTAGTGCCATCCATTTCCCTGCAAATTCTATGATTTTGTCATTTTTTAATGCAGAGTAATACTCCATTGTGTATAAATGCCACATTTTTTTAATCCATTCGTCTGTTGAAGGGCATCTGGGTTGGTTCCAAAGTCTTGCTATTGTGAATTGAGCTGCTATGAACATCGATGTAGCAGTGTCCCTGTAGCATGCTCTTTTTAGGTCTTTAGGGAATAGACCAAGAAGGGGAATAGCTGGGTCAAATGGTGGCTCCATTCCCAGCTTTCCAAGAAATCTCCATACTGCTTTCCAAATTGGCTGCACCAATCTGCAGTCCCACCAGCAATGTACAAGTGTACCCTTTTCCCCACATCCTCGCCAGCACTTGTTGTTGTTTGACTTCATGATGGCTGCCAATCTTACTGGAGTGAGATGGTATCTTAGGGTGGTTTTGATTTGCATTTCTCTGACTGCTAGAGATGGTGAGCATTTTTTCATGTACTTGTTGATTGATTGTATGTCCTCCTCTGAGAAGTGTCTGTTCAGGTCCTTGGCCCATTTGTTGATTGGGTTGTTAGTTACCTTATTGTCTAATTTTTGGAGTTCTTTGTATACTCTGGATATTAGGGCTCTGTCTGAAGTGTGAGGAGTAAAGATTTGTTCCCAGGATGTAGGCTCTCTATTTACCTCTCTTATTGTTTCTTTAGCTGAGAAAAAACTTTTTAGTTTGAGTAAGTCCCATTTGTTGATTCTAGTTATTAACTTTTGTGCTATGGGTGTCCTATTGAGGAATTTGGAGCCCGACCCCACAGTATGTAGATCGTAGCCAACTTTTTCTTCTATCAGACGGCGTGTCTCTGATTTGATATCAAGCTCCTTGATCCATTTTGAATTCACTTTTGTGCATGGCGAGAGAAAGGGATTCAGTTTCATTTTGTTGCATATGGATTTCCAGTTTTCCCAGCACCATTTGTTGAAGATGCTATCCTTCCTCCATTGCATGCTTTTAGCCCCTTTATCAAATATAAGATAGTTGTAGTTTTGTGGATTGGTTTCTGTGTCCTCTATTCTGTACCATTGGTCCACCCGCCTGTTTTGGTACCAGTACCATGCTGTTTTTGTTACTATTGCTCTGTAGTATAGTTTGAAGTCTGGTATCGCTATACCGCCTGATTCACACTTCCTGCTTAGCATTGTTTTTGCTATTCTAGGTCTTTTATTTTTCCATATGAATTTCATGATTGCTTTCTCTATTTCTACAAGAAATGCCTTTGGGATTTTGATTGGCATTGCATTAAACCTATAGAGAACTTTTGGTAATATCGCCATTTTGATGATGTTAGTTCTGCCTATCCATGAACAGGGTATATTTTTCCATCTTCTAAGATCTTCTTCTATTTCTCTCTTTAGGGTTCTGTAGTTTTCATTGTATAAGTCTTTCACCTCTTTTGTTAGGTTGATTCCCAAGTATTTTATTTTTTTCATTTGCACAATGCCATCTATCCTATGGCATTGAGGTACCATAGCACTTTCAAGCGTGTGCCCATTGAAGGACATCAGGGTTGTTTCTGGTTTGGGGCATTTACAGAAGAAACCACTGTAAATATTAGTGTACACCCCAGGATTTAATGTGAGCCTAATCCTTCATTTCTCTGGATGAAATATCCAACAGTACAATTTCTGTTGTATTGGAGTTGCATGTATGTTTGTTTTGAGAAACTGCCAAACTGTTTTCCAGAATGGTTGAACCATTTTATTTCTCATCAACAGTGTATATAACTAATCCATGTTCTCTGCATATTTGTCAGCATTTGTTATTGCCACTTTTTATTAAATCTTATTTAAGCCACCC